CTTTTTTTATATACTCTCCATGGAAAAATCTTGTATAAGCCATTTCGGTCCTTAATAGAATAATAATAGTAATTGATAAAATAAAACTATAAATAGCTTTATTGGTTTTATATTTTAAATATTACTTCCTTGTTACAGCAAAAATGCATACAGACGTTAAACAAGAAGTAATGCTGTTTAATATTATATTAATATAAAGTAAGTAGATATTATTATAAAGTATTATATGGATAATAAAGCAACGCAGTAAGATAGGCCGGTATCCAGGATTACCATGGAAAGGAAAGGTGGGTACGGGGTATGAAAAAGTGGACCAACTAGCTACAGGCTGTAGGTCTGTCATGTAAAATTTCCGGCAGTGTAAAGGAGCAGAGCTTAGGTATATCGTAGAGGTTCCGGAGCCTTTAATCAATTTCAGATATGTAACTTAAAAAAGGGCAAATTTTATATTGAGTACATTCGCAATTGACTTAAAATGTTGACCTTCATGTTCCGATTGTTTTGTGGAGAATGTGTGTGGAGGTAGATATTGTACCAACCCATCACATTCCTTGGATAATGACCTGTGAGAGCTAATACCGTAATAGTCAATGTAATAAGTTCAGTAAACTAAATGCTCATTATTAAAATGGTGAAGCACTAAACCTCTCTACTTACTACTCTATACTTGATAAATAACAGAGAATGATGATAGATCATGTGACAGTATACACAGTAACTTTTAAATAATACGCAAATTTATTAACTTAATAATCGATGAAATTGTTATTTTAAATTAAAATGAGTATGATTCACACAAAAGAGAGAAAAAAAAAATACATATATAGAATTAACACCTAAAAAAAGAGGCCTCAACCAAACATCTTGTTTTTATAGAAGTTCAATGTTTTCTGACTTATTTTTGTTTTATTATTTTTACCTACATTAGGATTTGTTTTATCATTTTTTGTCATTTTGCCATCATATCACAAATATAATATTGTTTTTGTTTTAGTTTTATGTCTCGTTGTAGTCGACATCTGGATTGTTTTTTGTTTGTTTTAGTTTGTTTGTTTTTTGTTTTAACATGCTCTAACTCATTTTCTTGATCTGTTACTTTTTAATGTTGAGTACAATAATTGTTTAACACTATGCTTTCTTAGATAAGATAGTATAATACATAGGCCTACTCCAAGTATCAAAATGCACGCCATCGTGTCGGGATTCAATATTTCGACATTAATTATGTCATCATCAGGTCCTGGTGATGACTTAAATAATGTAGAAATATTGAATCCCGACACGATGGCGTACATTTTCGATACTTGGAGTATGATATACTATCTTATCTGATATTAATCAGTGGACCTTTCGGTTTATGCTTTCTTATGTTTGTATTTCGTATTTATATTTTCTATTAACACTATGATTTCTTAGATAAGATAGTATTATACATACTCCAAGTATCAAAATGCATGCCATCGTGTCGGGATTCAATATTTCGACATTAATTATGTCATTATCAGGTCCTGGTGATGACATACATGTAGAAACATTGAATGCCGACACGATGGCATACATTTTCGATACTTGGAGTATATATTATACTATCTTATCTGATATTAATCAGTGGACCTTTCAGTTTATGCTTTCTTATGTTTGTATTTCGTATTTCTATTTTCTATCTATTTCTGCATTGCTCCCCTATCTATTCGAAAGTGTAAGTTATTTCCATTCCTCAGAAGTCGAAGCCTCACGCAATCAACTACCGAGTTTCAGTTGCTGTATAGGTTATAGGCTGTTGTAAGTCTTAAAGTTTTTTACTCAACTTATATTCAAGTAATTACATTTTTTCAGATAATGTCTTCTTGCGATAACTTGAATGTTACTTTGGACGAAACATCAGATGCAGTGGAACTTAGTCTCTCTATATCACGCTACATCTTGACCATCATTGGAGTCGTTGCCAACTTGATGGTGATCATTGTGTTCATCAACTGCAAGATTTACCGAAAATGCTTCACATATCTTCTGCTATTCCAACAGGCATTTATTGATTTGTTTGGATGCTGCTTTTATCTCGTTTTATTCAACTATCGTGTACCAGATGGTGAATATGGCATGGTTTATTGCAAATCCAGAACTTTGTTCTGGATGTTTGCATCGGCTTCAACCTTCAATCTTGTCTTTATATCTATAGAGAGGTACATCGCAGTTCTGCATCCATTGAAATACTGGATGAGAGGCAAAGTTAGAACCAAAATGGTGCCGAAGCTGTGTGTCCCATGGTTAGTCGCCATACTTGTTGTATTTCAGTTGGCCATTCTTAGCGTGCCCGATAATTTTAGCCCAGGAAATTGCAGGTATTGTTACAGCAGCGGAACTGTGCGGATAATCTCCGGCGGCTCAATATTTCTGTTGAGTTGGATAATTCCTATTTTTGTTATGACATTTTGCTATCGTCGTGTTTACATCACGATGCAAAATCCGACGATAAATTTCCATAAAGCCTCAAGTTCCGTACAAATCGACCGCACCGACGAAACCACTGACGACACTGAAACAAAAGATAATGTCTTCAAGGATTCGCAGAAACATTACTATAGTAAGACTCAGAAAAATGTTATCGTAACTATGGTCATTACTACCATTGTGTTTGTTGTCAGCATCTCACCACTGTTAATTGTGTATCTCGTGTACGTTCTGTGCGACTGTTTTGATTATGACAGACATCCTTTAAGACAAGCAGCGATCATATCGTTCGTATTAAGTCTGGCTGCCAACCCGTTTGTATATGCGTTTAAGTTCAATGAGTTCAAAATAGGCTTTGAAAAGACATTCATTCGCCGACGACATTAGTCACAATGTTTATCATAATTGTCAACCTATAGCCTCACGTATGTTGTTGCAACAGTATAATAAATGAGAGCGGTTAGATACAATTGCATACATTTATAAACTAACAGTAAATAAAAATATCAATGTTATGGCTCACTTTTATTAAAATTAAGGGTATACCCAATAGTAGAACTATAATCAACAGACATATTATTGCTAATTGCTTCATTCATAATTACGACTTAATAAAACATATTTGAAATATATATTATACAATAGCATAGGACCTATTATTTTGCATATGAATACTATTGTTATTAATATAATCCTTATTATATTATTAATATTGTCGTCATTATCATCATCATCATCGTTCGTTGTCGTTATTGTAAATGACGTTGTCACTTTCATCGTTATCATAATTTTAATGACAATAATTTCTTAATATTATCATTAAAATTACTTTTACTTTTTTTTAAATAATCTTATGAATAATAATAAGTAAGCTTTTTTTTTGCTTTGAAAAATATTTTTAGATATGGAAAGGTGCTACACCAAACATTTAAATATAATTTTACAATCGAACTATACCTAATGCATATACAGAATTTTAATTATAGACGTATTCTCACTAAGTTGCGTTTAGGAGTCCTTGAATTAGAAATTGAAACTGGTAGATGGTCAAAAATTGATAAAAAAGATAGATTATCCAAACATTGTACATTAAATTTAGTTGAAGATGAGTACCATTTTACTTTAATTTGCCCTTGTTACACTGATATTCGTAAAAATTATATATTCAAGTATTTTATTGTTAATCCATCCAAAGTTAAGTTTACTCAATTAATGTCCACTACTGATATCAATACAATAAGTTGTTTATGTAAATTTCTTTATCACTCATTTAAACGTA